ATTATACACTCTGACAGAATAATTTCTGTGAGACCAGGTGAAAACTAATTAGCAATGGAGCAGTTGTTGAGTATACATGTTTAGTTATTTGTCATTAACCTTCCCACAAAATTCAGTGAGATAAAAGTCCCCAAAAGTTACTCTAATTTATTTTTTGTTATATATATATATCAATGAATTGTAATATGGAGTCTATCAGGAATTTTGGGAGGAAGGATGAAGATGAAAGCATTCATTAATTGCCATGCTTTGTCATTTTTCTATTGCAGTCTCAGTTGTTTATAGTGTTATACTGTTATTAATGCCATAGTGTCCTTTATAGCAATCTGACCTATAAAGTGATAAACATTGTTGCTAATCTATGTTACCAGTAATGTCTATTCTTCAAGGATTGAATTGCAAGTGGTCGAGGTTCTCCAAATTGAAGGTATGAGGCTAAGTTCACCAAGTTGTCAATTGTATAAATGCTTAAACTTTAAGTGCATCCATGTATTTATGCATGCTTAATATTAAACATAGTAATGGATGATTGGTCATCAGTCGTCACTGGTCATTGGTGTGCATATGCTGATTGCTGCAAGTACAGACAGGAAAAGTCCCAGCTTGCTTAAATATACGAGGAAAACTTAGAACTACTCTTTACTCTTCAGTCGAGGAAAACCACCCACGTGACCCATGTGAGCTGTGACGCCAATATCAGCTATCTGTATTCTGTAGGCAACAGTATCAACTGCTGTACAGTACTGTATCAACCCAATCACATGAGTTCTTTTTGACGTCAGAAAATTTAATCTCATTCCCTAAACATCAAGATTTTAGTACCATTACTATAGGTGTCAAAAGCACACCCGACCCGATCCGAAACTGATCAGAAAAATATCCGATTTAGATTTGGACTCGCATGAACATAACAATTTAGTATGACTTAAATTTATCCGACCCGATCCGATCATCCGAATTAACATCCCTAACCATTACCTTAATAAACAATTGCAACTCCAATTAACAGCTGGACTGCTATTACACCCACTCCTTTTTTACAATTAAATTAAATAATGTAAAAGTGACTTAAAAAATAAAGTAGTTTAAACTTTTTTATGTTTATATTTTTTCACACATAATAGGGGATCTCTCCCTTCTTCTCTCCTACTTTAAATACTCCACCACAAGTTAATTATAACACAACAATAACAAATCCTAGCATTGACAATAATGGAAACAAATTTCATCTACTATCATTAATTAATACAATACTACACATACAGTAATTGAAAAACAATGACAATACATGGAAAAAATTATCCATAACATTGACAATAATAAACATGAATGTCTCGTAAATCAATACAACACAGTGATAGTAATAAAAAAAATGATAGTAAGTGAAAAAATTAATAGAGTAATAAACCTTAACATTCACAATAATAATAAAAATTACAATTAGGTCATGTTCTCTTCACCTTAAAAAAAATAGTAAGTAAAAGGAAAATTTGCCAGGAATAATACCACCTTTCACTTGTCTTCCAATAATGGAACAACATTTAATTTATTTCTAAATGGAACCACCTTTGACCCCTATTTTCTATAAATGGAACAGGTTACGGGTAACCGGCTAATAAATGAGGTTGCAGGTGGAAGTCAAGCCTTGACTTCCATTCCCTCCCTAAGAAGCCAACGTGGCATTAATGACTCCCAACAACCTTCTTTTTCCCTCTTCAATTTCATTTCCCTCCCTTTCACACTCTCTCTCCTCTGTTTACTCCATTAAAGAAGACACTCACTTTACCACAATTGAACAGCGGAATTGAATGCGGTGAGCCGTCCCTATCAACTGGAGAAGGAAGCTACAGTCTATGGAAGTACGAAAGTGACGATTTTTCCCCTAATTGCGCGTTTAAAGGTAAGATTTTTTGCCCCAACTTATTGACAAAATGTGAAATTGCAATGACATGTATTGAATTGTGAAATGTGGCCTAGTCACGTATGATTTTGAGTGTATTTTGATGCAATTGAAGTGTTGTTTGGTGTTAATTATGAATTTAGAAAGAATTTCATGTGAGTAATTAGTACACATTTTCGAATGATGCTAATTCCTGTGAATGTTGTGATAATCTTGTTAGTTGGGTTACTGATGGAGTGTGTTGGTTAATTGATGTATTTAGCTAATGTTGTTGATGTTGTTGCTTGTGATAGTATGCTTGTGATGATATTGATAGTAGACTTTGATGTTGACTTTGTAATTGTAATTCTAGGTTTGCAATGAGCAGTTTCTTTGATAGTGTTACAATAAGGTTTTGGCATGGTGGTGAGTTCAAACATCAACATAATGGTGAATTGGTGTATGTGGGTGGTAAGGGTAGGAATTTCAAGGTGGACACTGATTTGTTGTGTTATTCGGAATTACTTGAATATGCAAATAAATGTGGGTACATTGTTGTGGCTGGGATATATTACCTAGTTCCTGGGATGAGTTTGGAGGATGGCTTGATGAAAATAGATGGAGATGAAGAAGTATTGGAGTTGATTAAAATTGCAAATACACATAAGCGTGCTGATGTGTATTTCCTGCACCATGAGGAGCCATCTGAGCGTAGACATGCTGTACAAAGTGAGGAGGGAGCTGTTAGCAATCCTGCTGTACAAAGTGAGGAGGGAGTTATTGTTGGCAATAGGGCAGAATCTTCACCTAAATCTCAAACAACATTCAAAGATGTTGAGAATCCCACAAGCAAAGTAAACAAGAGGAAAAAAATGACCCCAAAGAAAGGACCACAAACAAAGCTGGCCACACTTATTAGGATAAGCCCTAGGAGACAAAAAGATGCTGCCACATCATCACAAAAAGAATCTATTAGAGCACCCTATTCTCTATCTTACCAACAGTTGACTGCCCCAACAACCTCAGTTCCACCCTTGAAACCAAATCTGAAAGAAAAACAAGCAGCTTCCCCAGCAAACCTCCTTCTGTAGTTCCAGATTTAGATAAAGAAACTGAAAACCCCTTTCCAAACCTTTCTCAATTTCCAAGTTGTGAATTTGTATCCACTGCTGAGCTGCCTAGTGTTAACACAACCTTTCTTGATTATGATTGGGTGGACAACAGGGGAGATAGCCCTTTGAGGTGGAGTGAGCTTATAGGTGATGATGATGTATTCAGTGATGACAGTGATCCAACTTATGAACCAGGCCCAGAATACAAGAAGTTTTGTGAGGGGGGTGAGTTTGAGGAGGATGAAATTGATGATGAATATGAGGTAGATGGTAATAGAGACACTGAACAGGCTGATGATTTCAGTCTAGATGACATAGATCTGGAAGTTGAGGAGGTTGCAGAGCTTAAGGGTACTGATTTTATTGACCCTGAGTCTGATGTTAGTGATGATGAGGTCATTGAAGCTAGGGCTAGAGTGAAGAATTGCAATTCAAAGGTAATTGAAATAGCTTTGCAGCTGCAGAAAGAAGTTTGTCAGGGGAAGCTTGGTGAAAACCAACTAGAGAAGGAAGATCAGACATCTGGTGCAACTACAACCCAGCAAGGTGGTGTATGCACTGATAATGAGCAGAGTGATGATGATATTCATACACCAACTGCAAGTGAGAATGAATTAGAGGGAGTTACCAAGGGTAAAAAGGGTGTGTTAGTGAAGGGAGACACTAACTTCACAAAGTTCAACTGGAAAGTGGGTCTAAGGTTTGCAAACAGAGCTGATTTCAAGGAGGCTGTTAGAAAATATGCAGTCATGCAAGGGAGAGATCTTAGGTATGTCATAAGCAACAAAGACAAGCAAAAATTGGGAGTTAAATGTGTAGAGAACTGCCCTTTCTATCTATACTGTTCTATGCATTCCAGAGATGCAACTTGGTTTGTGAAGAGTGTTGTAGATAGCCACACATGTCTTAGAAACATGAACAAGAACATACAACTGAAGAGCACTTGGGTGGCAAAGCAACTTCTTGAGTTGTTCAAAGCAAGGCCACATTGGCCAGCTAAGGAGATAGTGAAAACAATAAGAAGAGGGTACAAGGTAATTGTGACTAGAAATTTTGCATACAAGGTCAAATATCATGCTCATAGGATGTTACATGGATCAATGAAAGAGCATTATATGAAAGTTGAGAGGTACTTCAAGGCAATTCAGGAAGCTAGCCCAGAAACTGTAGTTAAGTTGGTTGTTGATCCACAACCTAACACATCAACCCCAGTCTTCAAGAGGTTTTTCACTTGTTTTGATGGAGTCAAAGAGGGTTGGAAGATGGCTTGCAGAAGAGTGACTTGTGTAGATGCTGCATTTCTGAAGGCATTCCTTGGGGGGTCAGATTATGATAGCAGTGTCTAGGGATCCAAATGAGCAGATGTACCCAATCTGTTGGGTGTGATTGAGGGAGAGAACAACTTGTCATGGGTATGGTTCTTTACCCATCTACAGTCCTGCCTTGATTTGGGAGATGGAAGTGGGATTGCTATAATTTCAGATGAGCACCAGGTATAAATGTGTCCATTCTCCATTATTCACTTGTTAATGCATCTACAGTCCTGCCTTTATTCACTTGTTAATGCATGTGTTGATCCAATAGTCTGTTTGTGTGGTTTTATGTTGGGTGTAGGCTATATTGAATGCTGTTGCTTCTGTGCTTCCAAAAGCTGAACACAGACACTGTGCCAGGCATATCTTTGCCCATTGGCACAGGACATACAAAGGGGATGAGATGAAGATGCAGTTTTGGAAGATAGCCAAGTGCTATAACTTGGCAGACTACAATGAAGCACTAGGGAGTTAAGTGAAATGAATGCAGAGGCAGCCTTGGCATTTAAGAGGTACAATCCTAATGTCTTTTGTAGAGCACACCTAGATCCATCTATTAAAACTGATGCCATAACTAACAATATGGCAGAAACATTCAATGCTTATATAATCAATGCTAGGACTAGGCACCTAATCTTCATGTTATAGGATATTAGGGTTGCATTAATGCAAAGGTTAGTGAGCAAAAGAAAAGAAATGGGGAAGTGGAGTTCTATCTTATGCCCTAGGATACAATCTAGGTTAGACAAAGAAAAGGAGAAGGCAGCATACTGTACTGTAATGCCATCCTCAGATAGCTTGTTTAATGTCAGACATATCCTAGATCAAGTGAATGTAGACTTAGTGGCTAATACTTGTAGTTGTAGGAAGTGGAATATGGTTGGCATTCCTTGCTGCCATGCCATAGCTTGTATTTACTTTCAAAACAAGGTAGCAGAGGATTATGTTGATGTGTGCTACAAGGTGGAGACTTATGTGAAGGCTTACAGTGGCTTAATACCACCATTGGAAGGAGAAAGGTATTGGCCAAGGGTGCCCTGCAATTTGGATCCCCCTCCAATCAAAATTGGCCCTGGAAGGCCCAGGAAGAACAGAATCAAACACCCACTTGAGTATCCTAAGAAGACAGGCTCATTGACTAGATCAGGGATTGAGATGACCTGCAGCATTTGTAATTCAAAGGGTCACAATAAGAGGGGGTGCCCAGACAAGGGATCTGCAGCAGCTACTGAACCATAACCTAAAAAACCAAGAGGCAGGCCAAGAGCTGAACCAACACCAACTCCAACTCCAACAGACCACCCCTCACAGATGGATTCTGCAGCAACTACTGCAACACCTGCAACTGCAACACCTTCCTCAGCCCATCACAGTGCTCCTGTACTACCAACTCTTATTGGCAGGAGTGGTAGAATGATTCTGGGAGGTGAAGGTGCTAGGTCAACTAGAAGAGGTAGGGGAAGCCAAGCTAGGAGAGGTACTCAGGTTGCTGCAGCTAGTACAAGACAAGGAAGAGGGAGAGCAAGAGGAATGGGGAGTCAAGTTGATGCTGCTGTAAGTACTTCAGGAAATGGAAAAGGGAGAGCAAGAGGAAGGGGTAGGGGAAGAAACAACGCACCTGTTGGTATTGGTGTGTTGTTTGGTGCTGATGGAAACCCACAAGTATGTTGTCTGACATTGTTTTGTTTTTTAATCTGATTTTTTTTATTAATTTTTCCTGACATCATTTTTTTTTGGCATGTACACACAATAGGTTTCAAGTTCAAGGGCAAGGACTAGGTCAGCAACTCAGTCAAGCCAAACCTCCACCATTGACCAGCAACCACAATGATGTTGTAACAACTTGAACTACAAATGTTTTCAGACTAGGGATATCTTTTGAACTTTGTTAAAGTTGTGTAATTTTGGCAAGCTAAACTGTGATCAGGGTATTGTAATCTTTTGCAACTTAAAAAACTATGTTTTTACTTCATGGTGGTGCTTAAATATGGGCACCATTTGGATGATAATTAATTAAGTAATGTAAGGTTTTTTAGCTCATTATAGCTTTTTGGTGAAGTTATGCTGCCAAATTTAGAGGTGTTTTTTTTTTCCAATTGCAATCACATATAGAACTTGTAAAACACTTTGTACAAAATAGACCTTAGTCATTCTCATTCCATTGAAACCATCCCATTACAAACTCAATCATGTCAAGCCAACAGTACATACCTAAGATAAATACACAACAACAAACAAAAGCCATGAAATAAACAAAGCCATGTACAGATTTTTCTCATTCCTTGAACAATCCATTATCTCAGATTTCATTTGAAACACCTCATTCTTCATGTCTTTAAGTTCCTCCTCCAAATTACCTTTCTTTAATTGCAGCTTCTTAATCTTCTCATCTCTGATCTTTTGTTCAACCTCTATCTCTAATATTATAGTATCCTTCTCTAACAATTTCATCTGCTGCTCCTCCAAATCAGTGTGCTCATTCACCCATTTAAAAAATTCACATTGTGTATCCTACACAAAACGCAACACAACACAACAAATCAAATTCAATTAGCCTATCAAATTGTTCAATTAGCCTATCAAATAACTAATTAACCTTAAATTAAGTAAATTACAAAACTTACTGGCCACAGAGGACAACCATAGAACTTCATCCCCATATTAGGCCCATTCCTCACAGTCTTGATAAGGGCTTCCCTTCCACAGTCACACCGAATTTTTGCATTCACAACCCTTTTGTTGGTAGAAGAAGAACCAGAAGTGTATGAATTTCCCTTTCTTGAAGCCATTGTCAAAGGATTTCCTTCGCAAAATGAAAGATGAAGTATGGAAAGAACAGGGGAAGGAGAAGAATAGAGAGAACAGAGATCAAGGGGCCTAATTTATAAGAAAAGGCAACATAACTTAACGGTAATATGCCAACTCACCAATTTAACCTTCAAATTTAAGGCCACGTCACCAGTTTACCTTCACAAACCGGTTAACAATTAACCTGTTCCATTTATATAAAATAGGGGTCAAAGGTGGTTCCATTTAGAAATAAATTAAAGGTCGTTCCATTATTGGAAGACAAGTGAAAGGTGGTATTATTCCTGGCAAATTTTCCTAAGTAAAAATAATTTCAATTTAGGAAAAATAAGTTTAGTTCAGTAAAATTAATTTCAGCTCAATAAAAATAATTTTAGTTTAGTAAAAATAAGTTTAGTTCAGTAAAATTCAGTTTTCTTAAAGAAGACTTATAATAGAAAATCAGTAAAAATATTTAAGTTAAGCAAAAGTAAGGGTTGTTCTCATACGTTGAAATTCAGTTCAGTTCAGCTCCTAATTTCCTTCTCTTATAAAATATTCATTTCAGTTCAGTTTAGCTCAGCTCAGTTCAATTCAGTTCAACTGAGTTCAGTCAATGAGAACATGCCCTAATTTCAGTTCAATAAAGTTAATTTAAGTTAAAAAAAATAATTTAAATTTAACAAAAATAATTTGAATCAAAGAGAAACTACTTTGGAGGAGAGAGTGAGTGAAGGAAGGAAAGATATATCCTCCCCAATGTGTGCGCTATTAGGAATGGAAGTAGGAGCTAGGAGCATTGTTAAAAATACCAATGTTTAATTTAATCTTTATGATGTTGGATTATTTTAATGTAAATATATATTTTCTATATATAACCTTTGCAGTCAAAATTAATACACCGTATTTATGAAATGCTTCATGATTGAGCTACATCCGTAAATAGCAATAACTCAACTATTTTGTTTGCTAAACACACAATGTGTTGCTGTAAATTTGAAGATTTCCCTTACTAAATGCAATTAGATTAAAGGCCATAGTTAGTGATTTAATATAGTCCCGTAAATAACATTATTGGTGATGAAGGAAAGAAATAAAAGGAAGAGATGATATATATACAACCATTTTGTTGTTCCTACCTATAATATCATTAAAAGTTTGACACGTTATCAAAGGGAAATTCCCTGTTTCTCACGGTGAGAAACGAAATTTGTTTCTCATGGTGGCATTTTCGTGAATAAATCAACAACTTTTTCAGTATTGTGGGCTCCACAGTTAAAAAAGTTAAATAAAGTTGTTGGTTTATTTACAAAAATGCCATGTGGGAAACAAAATTTGTTTCTTATCATGAGAAACTGGGGCATCCTCGTTATCAAAAGAGGGGAGAAAATTAGAAGTTAAATATAATGAAACTTAAATTCATTATTCTAATTAATAAAAACATAAGAATTTAAAATTGTATGTAGTGTAGCCTTTATCTGAGGGGTGTCGAGAAATTTATGGTAAGAATGAGAGTGTGAAGGTGCACAAAGCACAAGGTACTGGGTATACTGTTGAAGCCTTGAAAAAATGATTTTTATCTATAAATATTAAAGGGAATATCATAGGCTCATTCATTCTGTTTTGCAGTATAACTCATATCCTTGTCTGTCTCTCCTTTATTTGTTTAAGGTGTTTCAACTTTCTTTCTTTCTTTCTTTCAAACAACGACCAACGTGTTTCTTGAGGTATCATATTCATTCATTCTAATTTTGAATTTTTTACATACAGTATGAGTGAGGTAGTAATAAGCTACGGGGTACTTGGGTTAGTTTATAGCTCTAAAACAGAGAGCTGAGCTTACCTCACCTAATGAGCACTGTGACGTGCTCGATCTACTTTCCTTACCTATTACGGAGTACTTTGTTATTTCTATTATTCAATCAACAAATATAAGTGGGTTTGTTTTGTGTTGTAAGTGTAGGAAGAATAGAAGAAGATGGGATTTATTGACAAGGAGAAGAAGCTAGTTGTAATGCTGCTGTTTTTGGCGATTAATGGAGCACTGGCTGCAGCTCCAAGAAAGGCCATTGATGTGCCATTCGGAAGAAACTATGTACCAACTTAGGCTTTTGACCACATCAAGTACTTTGATGGAGGCAATCAGATTCAGCTTCTACTTGATAATTATACTGGTACAAACTCTTACTAATTATTATTTACAGTTTACACTATTATAGTTTATAGATTAGAGTGATGGAGTATACTAAATAAATAAATAATGCAGGTACTGGGTTCCAATCCAAAGGATCATACTTGTTCGGACACTTCAGCATGCATATCAAACTGGTTGGAGGAGATTCTGCTGGAACCGTCACTGCCTTTTATGTCTGTCTTACTTTCCTCTTTTACATTCTCTATTCTATACTCTTTTTTATTACCGTAGACCGTACTACATTTCTTTGCTTTCACTCTAATTTTTTTGCAGTACTTTATACAACTGCCTTGCTAACTCTTTATCTTAAATAATGGATCCGAGGTAACAATAGTAGTTGAATCAGTAATGCTAGCTACGAAACAACCAACTAACAATAACACCAATTTTACAATTTTTATCTTCATAGGTCCAATATCTTGATTCTCGCCAAAATTTACGCAAATTTATAAAAGACAATTTTTGTGAAACTCACTTTCTAATGTCATTTTTGCAATTTTTTTTTTAATTTGTTTTGTTAAGACAACTTTGATAGAACAATGTATACTACAAGAGGGGGGGTGAATTGTAGTGTATGTAGACTATGGTAAATTTTGCGGAATTAAATCTACTACTAAGAGAAAAGACACTGAGATAGGCAATGAATAAATTCACTATGTAAAAATGATTTACAATCACTAATACGTTGCCTAGACTCAAGTTCCGTGAGGAACTCAAGTTACCCAACTGTGATCCCTCAATCACAGTTTCTCACACTTTGTGATTCTACTCTGAATCACTTGTACAGTGTAAACAACTCTCTCAAGTCTCACACTTTACAACTCTCACAACCCAAACCCAATTACACAATGATTACAAGTATTTCCTAAAGAACTTAAGAGACTAAGGATGGAAGGAACTTCTCTTTTAAACACTTTGAAACTCTATGCTCAGAATACTTAAGATTGTTTTTCCACTCTTTAAAACAGCAACGTTGATAGCTTTTTATAGGGAGATTGGTTAAGTCTCAACCATGTTCCCACTTCCCCCTCAATCCCACGTTCACCATAACTGGGAAGTTAGGATGTATGTTGAGGAAATTGAGAAACATGGTTTCACTGACGTGTCTCCCAAGTTCAACGTGATACCTTAATTTAAGCAAACTGAATTTTTACCAAGTCAAAATCAGTTTAAAAGAATATTTATTAAAAAGATAAATATTTATTTATTAAAAAGATATTTAAACAATTAATTAATTTAAAATAAACTTATCTTTTAA